ATTTTACATCGTTATATGATAACAATTTTACAGTTGTCCATAATATTCTATAGTTTATAAAATTTCTTGTCATGTTCCTGAGCGGATCCTCAGTGATAACATTTATTATCAATCGGGCATTTCCCATAATATCATAAAATTCCCCTTTTTTTTTACCACTGTTCAGCTTATTTTATTAGTATTTTTTTCTAGGTTATGTTATGTTTTAAGTATTTGTTTTGTCATGTATCGCTCAGTTGTTTAAGATGTTTCTTTAATTGCGCTTCTTGTCTGATGGATTAGTTACGAATAAAATAAAAAAAGAGATTTCATGAGTTTATGGAAAATTAGAGATCAGTGCACGGTCTTTATAAATCGCGCCCTCTATCGACACAACACATCTGTGAGAAAAATGAAAGGACGTCTTGCCAATAAACAAAATAAGGAGAATTTACAATATTATAAATGGCAGACGACTACACAACCAAACACCAACATTGAGTTCACAAATTTACGTAATATTTACGTCACACGAGTCTTCGCCGCTAGAGAGCGCAAGTAGAGTTGGATGTAGCCGTGTATTGTGATAGCCGTGTATTGTTCGTACAACGTAAATTGAAAAAATAAATTCCGTAATTCTGTAATCACAGGCTAGACGTACAACGTAATAAATCAAATATTGTTTTCGTACACTGTAAAAATGTGTCATTTTTCTCGGTACGTACAAGAATTTACATGCAAAATATAAAAAAAGTCGTAAAGAATAATCCAGGGAAATTACATTTTCGAAATTGTAAAACGACTAGATGACACAATTCACTGCAAAATTCAATTTTCAATTCAACTGTAAACTGTAAAAACGTCTTTTTTTCCTTGTAAATTGTAAAAAGCCCTTTTTATTTCCCGTAAAACTGTACCAGCTACCCCCTTGCTTCCCCTCTATTGTTATTGTCGTATACTATCTGGTTCACTTTATTCCGATTCCTGGAACTGGTTACTTAGGATATCAGCAAAACACTAACTGGCATCCTCACCAGAACGGTTATTTCATGAAAGATACAGACTCAATCTTTGAAAATATTCTCAAAAATTTCCCAAGTTGCCACCAGCGGGCGCTTCACAAGACCACCGTAAAGTTTTGTGAACAGATTAATCGTACCGGTATATACTGTACACACGTCTTTTTAGCTAGCATTTTATTTTAGCTAATCTGTAATTTCGCTAATTCAAGATGTAGCTAATTTAACAGAAAGAATATTCTCACAGGGAGATAGTCGACACTTTAGCTAAATTAAGATTTTGTTAATTCATACCAGGAGTCAAATTCGCTAAAATTGCATGCAGCTATTTCAACACGTTCTACAGTATATTACTTATTGATAACCACAATTCAAACGACAAGGCATAGCATAGCAATCACACATTTTATTTCCTGCTAAATGAAATTCAAATTGTTTCTTCTCCCTGATCACAAGCATACATTGTAAAAGTGAACATGAAGCACCAACAATTAATTGTCCACTATAACAGATTTGCATTGATAAAGCCAATTTCTTACAGAAATCACAAACAATAATCTTCATTTAAAACAGATTGCAACCATTCTAATATTTTCTAACAACATTGATTGTGTCTCAATAACAAATGGCAAGGGCATATTATGGTATGGACAGTATCGATTTATTAAGATTCTGTTTAATAATAAGTTATACATTGCTTGCAATCACATCCAGCTAGTTTTATACATCAAAAATGAAATCTGCCTGAAAAAACACTAACATGATCAAGGAAATTATTCACTTTACCAAGACCACTAAATATGTAGTTAATGTGAAAGGGGACTTGAAAAGTATAGAAAGAGACCACTTTTCAGAAACAGTCTCTTCATCATATAATGATGATACTGATACTTTCTACACACTCACAGGAACATGTGCAATACTATGGAGCTACATCACAAAATGTTCCACACTGAGTGAAGAGCCAGTGAAAATAGCTAGATTCGAGAAAACAAACTCAACTTTGAAGTAATCCTGAACAATCAAATTTATATGCATTACACACGCAGGGGTAATCTTGTTACACTGTTCAGGGAAGTCTTAATAACCATCTCAATGTATTGTTTTCTGGGAGTTTTCAGCCTTTGTTTTCACAGTGATGGTTGCCATGCTGTGAAAATACCCGGATGTCCGCTCCCGAGAATACTGGCAGAAATACATTTTTTAATAGTTTTCAAATGTATGTATAATTCTGGGATAATATACATGCAGCATGCTTCACAAAAATGTACAAACATCTCACCGCAAGAAAAAATCACAATACAAAGAGACAAATGATTTTATACATTAGCTTGTAATGAGAATGAATACCTGTAAGCGTAGATTTTGAAGTCAATGATATGGAAGACATATGGTTAAATATACATACACAATACATATTGTTCTAACATAAAAATTTTTTTTTTTTTAAAGTTGCACCCTTTAGATCAGTCATGTTTGGAGGGTCTTGTGACTACCAAAACCAGTATTACTTGAAATATTTTATTGTCTGAATTGCAGGTTGTAAGTGCAAGAACTTCAATTTTAATGATTTTCAGTATCAACCATTTTGGCTTTCAATTTGATTGATTATATGTTTTGAATTTTATTAACACGTTTGAAAAGTGTTCTGACACTGTAAGCTTGATCTTCAAATGCAACTTTAGAAACACATCAAAGGTTTAACACTGCCCTTGTTTCATAAAAAAGCAAACTAGATTATTAGGGACACAGTCATTGCCTAGCACAAGTTCAAATTTTGTGCAGAAATGCAGAGAAGTTAAGATGTTAAGTATCGGTAGCTGTATTTTATAAGCAAGCCCTGATTGGTAGCAACAGATACTATCCGTATATCAACGATGCGATGTGCAGCACTCCCAACATCACTCAACTCATCCATGTTTTAAACACTCTGACTTTTAGAGATGTGTTATTTTTATTTCATCTTTCTACCACAAAACAATTGATATACATTTTTTTAAATATTTGATCAGATTTATTTTGTCACATGGTTGATTTGATGAGATTAACTTGATCATGTGAATAAGCTGCAATTGCGCAACTGTTTAAATGCTCACAACCTGTCATTTGCTTCTCACCACTATGTTATACGCAGTCATTTTATAAAAGATACATAATTACGACTTGACAGTACAATTCCTCCAAATACAAGTAAATTAGGAAAAAAGTTCACCTGAACTGATATACAATAAAAACTACAATCAAGCCTGTGGTAGCGACCAGCTTAACATAAGATAACCTGTTCATCCTATCTGTCTAATGTAAGCAGCCCTCTTTTTGTACAAATGACATTTTATAATGAAGATCAAAATAATGGACTGACATTTTAAGTTTAATCAAGAATATTTATATCTATCGTCGCATGTTGTCATGTTTCATTAACAGACTAATTATTCAACTGGCCACATATAAAGACCACATGTCTATAATGAAATACATACATGTAGGCTGATCACACAGGATGAGTTACATTTGGTCAATCTATTGACAAGATATACACGTCAATTCATAGCAATCAGTTTATTTGTTTGATAACTGTTTATTTCTAACAATATACATTAATGCCACTGGTAAATGTTTTACGTAAATTTGACAAAATTACTTGAAATCACAAAATTTGTTTTTATAGTTACTGCATACTTCAAGACTACTAGTCTCATAAGGCAAAGTATTGGTATTTAATGGTGGTGTTGGAAACAGTGAAGAATATTTAATTAAAAACACTGTTAGGTGTTTTTTTTTTTTGATAACTCAAAAACCGAGAGATGTAATCAAGAGGAAAGGATGTTGCAATATCTGATAAATATAAATATACAAAAATTATTTAAAAAAAATTAAGTTGGGATTTAAAAACAATAAGTAAAGTGTTTTCTTTGCCTGTTGTGCTTCTATAGGAATCTGTGAGAGTTTTATTGATAAATATCTTGCTTTTGTGAATTACTGTAGAATACTTTATTTTCGCTTGGAATTTATTTTCGCTATTTTCGCTGAAGGGATGATTCCGTGAAAATAAAATCCAGCGAATATACTTTTTTCCCTATATTTCACATTAAACTCGTGAAAAATCAGTGAAAATAAATTTCAAGCAAAACGCCCAAAAAGCCCTTTTAGCGAAAATTAATTCCAGCGAAAATAAAGTATTCCACAGTATTAATTAAATATATAAAGGATAAAGTCGGGTTCTTATGGTCAGATTAATCAGATAAATATTATCAGGTATCTGATCAGACAAATCTGATCTGACATGGTCAGATTGTATAATCTTCTATGGCACTGCCAGATTAATCTGATAAGGATATAAAATTTTATCAGATACCAGATCGAACAAATCTGATGTAACAGACAAGGTCAGAATGTGATGAGAAGCAACACTCCAGACTTTTTGAAACTATGATTAGACAGCAGATTTTGTAGATATTTTGTCTGATCAGAAGAATCTGACCATGGAATTTTAAAAACGTTTAGCTTCATGCATTGCCTATGTGAAAGAATTGTAACATGCAAATACAGATGAACCCTACTTGCTCAATAAGATACAATACAATTAGCTTTATTACATGTGGCACTTTGTGGCATGCATGTATTTTTGTTGTCTATCATCATGAAGAATTTATGTCTCTTACATGCTGCATAAGTAAATTAAAAACATCCATACACATTGCCCAATTACATCATGATTGGTTAAAATTAATCACATGATAGAGTTTATTGATAAAACATTACACAGAGCCATAAGTGACTTATGAACAAATCCTACTTTAAGTACTCTTGACCAGTTCAGGAATTTATAATCTGATTTACATGACGTTGCTGTATTTCAATTATATAACTAAACGTCACGGTATAAAGCCTACCCAAAGAGGTGTAGCAGAAGAATTAGCTTTTAAGTTAAACCAGTAAAATAATTCCCCAAATCCATTGAAGATAATAAAAAGAGTAGATAAAATAGTGTGTGGAATGTGGTCATGAATTGTTACTCCCTTGACTATCAGATCTATGTCGGAGTTTAAGTTTCATAAACTCTGGTTGGTTGTCTTCCACTATCGTTGTTTGTTTTTCTTCCTCCTACAAAAAACAAAACAAAACAAAAACATGAAAAGTTGGATTGAAAATCGAATCCTTTGTGTAAAATTTATGCTGGAGTACAAGGATAGAAAGGCTAATATAGTATATTTTGTTAAGACTAATTAAAGGTGAATGATAATTCAAAGGGACGAGCAAGATGAGCACTTGTAACTGTCAAAATGGCAGATTTGTATGCAAAGCACCATGACTAATGCTATGATTTTGATGAAAAAAGCATTTTACATTACATCTATTTTTTTTACAAAAACATGAATTGAATATTGTTCTATAGAGTCTATGATAGAACTAGTATTTTATACAATCATTGTTCTAACCATGTAAATAAAGTCTGTTCTCATTGTTTAAAATTACATTTATTTCTGAGTGTTTTGCAAACTACTTTTGAGTCTT